CCCCAGCGGGCTATAAGTCCAGGTCTCAGCGCGGCGCAGCAGTGGTCTGCACTGCAAGGTTGCCACCTCCCCGAGGAGCCGCCGCTAGGAGCAGAGAAACTTGGCCCGACCATGGCCGAGGGTGAGTGTCAGAGTCCGCGCCGCCACCTCTGGCCAGGCTCGCCCTTGCCGTTCTGGTTTCTGTCCTCCAGCTGGGGCAGTCGGTTCTGGACCCGCTGGGGTTCAACCCACATCTAGAATTTGGGGAGCAACAGGTGGGCTGAGCTGAGTTGGGCTGAGCTAGGTGGGAACACCTGGCTTCCAGGGCTAGTGCTGTTGGGAGCCTCAGTTTTCCCATTCCCAGGGCATAATGATTAGCCCTGATCCCTGGATCAGGTGACGAAATGGAATATGAAGTTGTAAACTGTAAAGTACTGTCCTCACGGACCACTCTCACTTCCTGTCCTGGTTGGTGGAAGCTGACTCCCACCAGGCTGTCTGGAGTGCTGGCCTGGCCTCAGAACACTGGGCTTTGGGTGGACCCCCTGGGAGAGGGGGTGTATGTGCCCTGGGTGTGGCAAGGCCAACCTGGCTCTAGCCTCCTGATGAGAGGGGACTGGGACCAGAGGTGTTCTTTCAGGGCCCTTCTTGCCCTCAAGTTCTGACACCCCAGCCCTGGGCACCTGTTGAAACTGCTTCCCCTCCTGTAAACGACAGACCTTGATACACCAGGGAGCGCTGAAAGGTGCAGAGGAGATGTTTAATTAAGTTCCACCCCACCTTCCACCCCCCACCCTACCCCCGTGACAGGACCGCTTAGGTCCCGGGGCAAGGGACTTTGATAGAACACTTTCTTGAACCAGTGCTGTTGGACCCAGCATCCCAGCTGGCTCTTGGGCCCTGTCCACTTGGGACTGGCCTCTGCCCACACTGCAGCTCCAAGGTAGGGGAGTGGGGAGGTGTGATCTTGGCCACCCCCTGCTCAGAAAACCAGCTCCCACCCAGCGTGCTGTGGGGGTCACTTGTTCCTGGTGCGGCTTCTCATCCCTAACCCCAGAGGCAGGGCTCGGTGAGGCTGGGGGACCCTGTAGATGCCAGTTAGGGTGAGCTCCTAGCCCCATTGCCACAGCAGCTGCTTCCCACAGGGGTCCCACCGGCCTGGAAGACCCAGGTCCCTTGTCAGTGCCGAAGTCCTGTTGGTCTTAGGCTTCTAGATTCTGCTTCGGCATCTTTGGAGCTGAAATGACTTCTGTGGACCTTTCTTCAGACAGTAGAGTATGCACCCCAGACTCCCCAGACTAGGGACTGGCCAACCTCACCCTGTTTTGGGGAAACAGTGGTCTCTTTTCTGCCTGAGTCTCTGGGGCTGACATTTTCAGAGACAGCACTTCCTCGCCCCAGCAGGCCAGCAGGAAGGCCCACCTCTCTGCCGCTTTAGACGTGCAGGACGGTGTCTTCCCAGGCCAGGAACAACCCAGAAATGGGAAGGGTGGGTGGTGGGAGGGGCCCTGAAGAAGCAGCCTGAGCTGGAGAGAGGCAGTTGCACCTCCAGAATCCTGTATTCTGATCAAAACCCAAAGCGGCCACTTGCTGTGGGACCAGCAGCCACCTAGCATCTCCCTCTGCAAAACAGGGATGGCAGCAGAGGCTGTGGGGGCACAGTCACTGCAGTTTCAGTTGAGGTGGCGCACGAGGAAGCTCTTGGCTGTCACAGGTCACTTTTTTCCTCACTTTGGAGATGTCTTAGGCAGGTAACAGGAGACCTGGATGGGTGTTGCACTGGAAGGACCAAGTCACTGGGTGGCTGGGCAAGTCCCTATCCCTTGGCCTCAGTTGGACCTTGTGTCCTCCACTGACCTTGCAACTCTGAGAGGATGCCTTGCCCTTCTCCAGGGGCTCCCTGGTCTTGGCCTTGTGCTTGCCAATATTATGTGACTTGTGCTTCCCTCGGGCCTCCATCTGCTTGTCACCTTGTGACTGCCCCTGTCCTTAGTGCCCTCTGGAGCTATAAACAGGGCTTTCCTATATCATACGCCCACCCTGGGCTGGGCCAGCTTCCTCTCCTAGACTCACAGCAGCCTTTGGATGCTCTAAGAAGCAGGCGCAGGCAGGGAGAAGCCCTTGTGCAGGGTCACACAGGAGCACAACAGAACTAAAACCTAGAAGGCACCGAAACTGCTGCCATTTTCAACTTTTTATTATGGGGACTATAAATGTACATAAGAGTGGAGAGAGCTAGCCGTGGTGGCGCACACCTGTAATTCCAGCACTGGGGAGGCTGAGGCAGGAGGATCGTTGCAAGTTCGAGACCAGCCTGGGCTACAAAGTGAGCTCAAGGCCAGCCTGAACGGCTTAGCGAGAGCCTGTCTCAAAAAGAGACAAAAAAAAAAAAAAAGAGTGGAGAGAGTGGTGCAATAAATTCCTATGTTCTCATCACTCTGTCCTGAGCATCACCAATCCATGGCTGCTCCTGCCCCCAGCCTCTCCTTGTTATTAGGAACAAATCCCAGACCCCATTACTGTATTATCTGTAAATATTTCAATGCACGTCTTTAAAGAATAAAGACTGTCTTGTAGATATAAACAAATTAATAAAATTCTTTGATATCACCATTATTCCCCCAGCATTTAAATTTCCAGTTGTATCAGACATGTACGAAGTGTTCCTAAGTAGTTCTGCAAAATCAAGATCCTAGTAAACGCCACACATTACAATGGGTTGAAATGTCTCTTCAATTTCTCTTTACAGAGTCTCCTTTCAACTTTATTTTTCTTGCTATCTTTTTTTTTTAAAAGAAACCTATCAATTCTTTGCCTATAGTTACCCAGTGTATGAGTTTTGTTGACTCTTTCCTGGTACTTTGCTTAGTAAAATCCTTAGTCCTGAGTATTTCCAGTGAATCGAAAGTTGGATCCAGCTTCAAACACCGTGTAATTCTATACCACATACTTCCAGTTTGAAGCCCGCCCCCAGCTCCCCTGCCCCCGCCCGCGGGCTGTGGACAAGCTCGAGCTGTGCAGCACCAGGCTCTGAGCTAGTGGCCACATGCACTGATTCCTTTCACACTCACAACAGCTGCCCTCTAAGGTGGATCCTGCTGTGCCCCACCTTGGGGACAGATGAGGAAACTGAGGCACAGAAAAGCTGAGTTGCTGGAGGCCGTTCAACTGGGAGTGGGCAGAACTTCTCCCAGTGCTGTACAGTGCGTGCACCCTGTGCTTAAGAAAATTAGGCCACTACAGGCCAGCCAGCCCCTGTGTGCCCACAGGTAGGTGAGAGGTCTGAAGGGACTGTGGAGACAGGGTCACCATCCTGGTGAGGTTAAGCTCCTGTGTCCGGGTACACAGGTATGTCAGTGGGCATCACAGGCCACTGAGAGATGCTGCCACCATTCACACCTCTCCTGCTGTCCCCATTTCTGCAGAGCTGATCCTGGAGAGATGTGACTTGCAGCTGGAGGTCAATGGCCGTGACCACCGCACGGCCGACCTGTGTCGGGAGAGGCTGGTATTGCGGCGGGGCCAGCCCTTCTGGCTGATGCTGCACTTTGAGGGCCGTGGCTATGAGGCCAGTGTGGACACCCTCACCTTCAACGCTGTGACCGGTGAGTCCTCCTCCTCTTCTCCCACTGACCTTTCCTGGGATTCACTGTCCTCTGTCCCCTGATGGACCCAGGGCAGATGACTTCACACCTCTTTGTACCTTGGGAGATTCCCAGTTGTCATTCGCTCCACTTTACAGATGAGGAAACTGAGGCCCAGAAAGTGGAATGGGAGGTGTCACCCACACCACCCCGCCTTATAAACAAGGACACCAGGGCTCTGCAGATGCTGTCATCACCAACCTTGGGGGACAGCTTTCTGTCACCAACCTCCACCAAGATTCTGCCTGTTCTTTCCCACACTAAAGCAACTTTTCAGAGTCTTATTAACTGCTTTCTGCAATCCAAACAAACCCACCAGGCCCCTAAGATCAGGCCTAAATCACGTGTGGGTGATGGAGAAAGTCCGGCTGGCTTGAACCCCTTCATGGTCTGGGCTTCCTACCTGCTGTGTGACATTGGGCAAGTCACTCAGCCTCTCTGATCCTGAGTTTTATCATCTGAGCAGCAGTCACAGCACAAGGTTAAGGGAGAAAATTGTGTAATGCTGGTTGGTCTTTCTAATCTTGCTCCAGTATGTCCAGAGATGGGGGAAGGAAATTTAGGCCCATCCAACTTATCCCCAGATGCCCAGGACCCATTTTTCTTTTGCTGATTGTCCCTAGGAAAGAGGCCTTGAATGCCAAATCAGTTGGTCTGGCTTCTGGTGAAAGCCGCTCCCCTGGGGTCAGGACAGGGCCACCTGGCTGAGACTCTGGCTGACGTCTCTGAAAGGCCAACTCTGTCTGAGGTCTTTGGGGGCAGAGAGAACAGCAGGCGGGAGCTGCACTGGCCTGGAGAGGCCTTATTTACCTGTGAGGCTGTTAGATAAGGCTTATCATAGAGCCCGCAGGCGGCCAGGATATCCCTTCCCTCGGGTCCTCTCCACCCCTCTCAGCAGGCACAACCACTACCCAGGGCCATCCCCCAAGCCGGCATGCTCTGGGCTCTTTCTAACAGAGCCCAGGGCCCCCCAGCAAGCCTCTGGTCTTCTAGCCTCCGTTTCGCAGTTGGTCAGGTGGGAGGTTGGGGCCCTGACAGTTAAGGGGCGGGTGTGGAGCCCTGAGATGGTCATGCTTGGGACGCTGAAACACCACAGCATCTCTGAGGCAGCTGCTGTATGCAGGCTCAGCCTGAACCCTCCCCGCGTGGAAGCCAGACAGCCCCCACGTTGCAGGTGAGGCAACCACAGCTCAGAAAGGTCGAGTCACCTCTGTCCCGCGGTGAGTTAGGGGCACAGCGGGCCTCAAACCCTGACCCTGTCGTGAGTTGAGACTTGTGGCACTGCAGCCCCACGCAGGCACATTTACCTACCACCCACCACAAGTGCCTGCCCATCGTCCTCCAGGAAAAAGGGTGGTGGGCGGGGTCCCAGCTGGGACAGGCTGGGGCGCCCCACCTTCTTCCTTCTCAAAACATCCTTGCTTTTTCTGTTTTTCCGGGCAGCTCGGTGGTAGGTAATCGGGGCCCCGGGTTCAGGGTTGGGAGCGGGGCAGCCAACCCTCCCACTCCAGCAGCTAATCTGCTCTCCCATCTCCTTCGACTTATCTCAAACCACAGCTGACGTGCCCTGTCACTCCCACGACCCCTGTGGCAGCCGTGTCTTCACTGTCCCGGCAACCAAGACCCTCATGGGCTGGGGAAGCCAAAGGGACAATGGCAGGAAGCCGGGCCCTCACCTCCAGGCCTGGCTTGGGTCAGCGCCCAGCCTGGGCCCTGGCTGGGGACCCTGCACCCGTGTCAAGGTTACTCTAGCTTGTGATCAGCTCGTGCTGCCCCTTTGGGGAAGTGAAGGCCCAGAGAAGGCAGAAAGCTAGTCAGGGTGTCTTAGTGAAGGGAGTGTGCGGCCTGGCTTTGGCCGTTCCCAAATACCTGGATAACTCCAGATAACTGGAGACCCGACAGGCTGTGTTCCGGGGCGCAGGTCTGACTAGACAAATCCACTCTTGTTAGGGGTAAAGTTCTGCTTTCCAGAGCAGGGCGGGTGGGGAGGGTGGAGGTCTGGCTAGAGGGAGAAGAAGAGCCATAGGAGGCTTCCTGGAAAGCTTTATTTGGGAAGCCTCGGCCACCCCACCCTGCCACCACCAAGGTCTGGAATGGGACCAGGACTCCTGAGCTCCCCAGATCACCTGGCTCAGAGTGGTCCCTATGTTGTCCCTGGCCCCACCAAGAGCACCATGTTAAACCTCGGCTGTCGTGACTTTGCAAACAGCATACGGGAGCAGCTGGGAGGCGAGGGGGCAGCCTGTCTTCACCCGCTCAGAGCCTCTCAGAAGAAAGGGCTGTGTGTCCGAGCACGGCTGCCCTAAGGGCGCTGTGTCAACAGAGAGTGGCCATGGGACCTGGTGCAGGCCCGTTACCACGGACACCAGATAATTGATTGTACAAACAGGGACATTTCTGAGAACGACAGGGGTGCCATTCATGATTGTGCTGGGACTGCGGGCCTTGACTGGGGCTGCCCCAGCAAATTGTGATACAGGGTCACCCCAACCTTACCCTGGAGGGGCTCTGCCTCAGTTTCCACATCTGTGTAGTGATTTAATTAAATAAAATATATCTACATTTCATTCCAGTCTTCTAAAACTCTTCTGTGGCCTGAACATCCAGATGTCTGTGGGGTTTTTTATTTTATTTTATTTTTTGCCATGCTGAGAATTGAACCCAGGGCCTTCACACTGAGCTGGATCCCCAGCCCTTTTTATTTTTCATTTTGAGACAGTCTCCATAAATCATTAAATTGCCCAGGCTGGGCTCCACCTTGGGGTCCTCCTGCCTCAGCCTCCCAGAGAACGTGGATTACAAGCATGCGCCACCACACCCAGCTTAGTGGTCCCTTTGGATGAGATGGAGGACAGTGCACGTTTGCTGCATAGTCATCATGAGCTGGCCCTGCTCTCCACGAACTCTCACTGGGCCTCTCCTCAGCACCAAGCTGTGGTGGTGACAGTGATTTACACTAGTGACGGATGTTTACTAGTGCGCACATCAGTCTTGTGAGAGGGTCCTATAGCTGGCCCCATTTTACAGGTGAGGAAACCATGACATCAAGAGGCTAAGTAACCTATCTAAAGTACAAGCCCCTTTTCAGAGCTGGAATGGGATCTCTCCAGCCATACAGTGCAAATCCATTTTCTTCTTTGATGAATAGACTGCAGATCAGAGAGGCCTGGGAACTCTGCCTAGATCACACAGCACTGATGGGTAGAGGTGGAGAATTAGACTTAGAGTGGCTCTTGAGCCTCAGAGTAGTCTGGCTCCTCCACAGTTATCAGCTCTAGAAGTCAAAGAGCCTTTAAAGGCTTCCATTTGGCTCCCAGCCACTGGCCAGGCCCCAGAGGCTGGGGCATGTCTGCGGCAGCATGGATATATTTGGGCTGGGGGCAAGAGCAGGGCTGGCAGGCCAGCAGGGAGGTCAGTGTGGGGGGAGCCTCTTGGTGGGCAGGACGTGATACTGTCGGCAGAGGGTAGGCAGCACTACAGCCTCGGAGACAGAGGAATAAAAATAAACCCTCCCGGGCAGCTGCTCAGGCCGGCAGAGAGCACGCTCTGTTTCTCCTCTCCGCCGCCCATGTCGAGAAAGTGACCAGCCCTCCCGCCCTGCCCGTGACTCAGACCTCCCTGCGTGGGCCCTCCCTCCTCCACCGGATAAAGCGGCCACATTTGTGACGCTGCCCAAGTCACTGTGCCTCAGAAACCATGTTAAGGAACATCCTGTGGGAAGGAGAGGCGATCCGAGAGCCTCAGACCTGGCTCGGGTGCTCACTGTACCACAAGCCCTGGGGACTCCCGGGAGCTTCCTTCTGTCTGGACCTGTTTGCCGCCTGTCCCTCACCTGGGGGTCTCAGAGGAAGCAGGAGGTGCAGAGCCCATCACCAAGTGTGAAGGCCGTGGGGAGTATGGCTGGCATCACAGAGCTGTCTCTAGGACCCAGGGGTCCCCAGGTGGAGGGGTCGTTGGGGAGGCTGCTGGCCTACAGCCAGGGGTCTCCAAGGACCATGCCCATTCTGGGCAGAGTACAGGCTTCTGTCTCTGAAGGGAGAGCAGGAAGTGGCAGGTAAAGGGTTTCACCCAGGGAAGCATCTTGCCTAATTTCTGCCCAAACTACAGACAGGCAACCTGAGCCTTGAGAGGGGGTGGTCTTGTCCAAAGTCACCACGGGGCAGATCTGGGCGACCGAGACTCTGCCCCAGGCTGTGCTGTGCTCTCTCCCAGGAGAACTCTCTAGTTCTATGTCTGTGGCTTTTCATGGCTTCCCACAAAACCACCCTGCAAGGCTGGGGTTCTGATTCCCACTTTACAGATGAGGAAACTGAGGCTTTGGGGAGATGATACTCTTGCCAGACTTCCTTCAGTGGTTAGTGGTGAAATAATCCTGCCTGCGGGCCATGGGACTCCAGATATGGGCTCTGCCCCTGCCTGCCCTGCCCACCCCCGGCTCACAGCTGCTGTGTTCTTCCTGCACAGGCCCAGCTCCCAGCGAGGAGGCCGGGACCATGGCCCGCTTCTCGCTGTCCAGTGCTGTGGAGGGGGGCACCTGGTCAGCCTCAGCGGTGGACCAGCAGGACTGCACCCTCTCGCTGCTGCTCAACACCCCAGCTGATGCCCCCATTGGCCTGTATCGCCTCAGCCTGGAGGCCTCCACTGGCTACCAGGGCTCCAGCTTCGTGCTGGGCCACTTTACCCTGCTCTTCAACGCCTGGTGCCCAGGTGAGCCACACTTCTTCCCCAGGGGCCTGGCAGGGGAGGAACACGGCAGAAGAAGCGTCACAGAGGGAAGATGAGCCACCATGCCAGCTCTGTGCTCTGGCCTCCTGGTGTGAATGTTCAGCTATCCTCAACTATAGACAAGGAGAGGGGCTCATGGGAGCAAAACACCTTAGCCAAGGCCAGCCAGGTACCAAAGGACTTTGACCGTGGCTAAAGCTTGTGTGTCCATAGCACCACAAACCCGGCCTTAGTCCATTTTCCTCTGCCATCAGACTGGAGATTTATAGACAGTTTATTTGGTGGATGGTTTTAGGCAGTGGAAAGCCCCAGATGGAGGGGCCAAATCTGGTGAGCACCTTCCTGCTGTATCATAGTGCGGAGGGAGGGGTCACTGGGCGAGAGAGCACTCAGTGCTGCCTAACCCCAGCCTGCGCTAACTGCGTGAATCCATTGACTGCCCCTCCTGTGGCCTAATACTGGTGCACTAGGGATTAAGGCTCTAGCACATGAACCAAGCCACAGCACCAGCGTGTAGCAGCGTCTTGGTTTCAGAATCCCATGTCAGAAATGGAGTCCGCAGCGCAGACTCAGACTTAGGATACCAGATCCTCATCCATTGTCATAGGGCCCTGTCTTCAACCCACGCAGGCTGGTGTGGGAAGGGGAAACTGAGGGAGGTGGGGGCAAGGGGACCAGGTGAAGTAAGAGCAGATTGTCCCCTAGCAGCTTCCTTACACAGTCTCAATTGCTGTTCTCCACCACCCCACGGGGCAGACGTTAGCACCATCCTTGCTCAGACAGGAAACGAAGCCTTGGTGAGGGAAGTGGCTTTGGAAGCTCTTTCACTCAGGAAGCGAACCATGGTGGAGCACGCTGGAGGGCTGGGGGAGAGCATGCAAGAGCCGGGGTGATCTGAACAATGGGGAGGAGGTGGGGGCCGGCGAGTCCCTACTCCCAGAGCCTCATTTTCCCCTTATGACTAAGAAAGCAATCGGAACCAATGCCTGCTTCCTGCCTGTTCTGATACAGCAAGGCAGGGAGGGAGACAGTGGGCCTGTGCCCAGGCCCGGGGCAGAAAGTGTCCCCCCATCCCCGTAACCACCTGCTCGCTGGCCTGGCTTGATTCTTGGTCTTTGTTTTGAGCCATTTCATAACGTACTTGATCAGGAGGCACTTTTATTTTCTCTTTTGCATATTTTGGCTTTTATTTCTAATTCTAACACTAAGGTACCAGAACACCCTTTTTACAAAAGCTTCAAGCGCCACAGGGAAGCACCACTGCTGTTCTCTGGGGACACTTGCTGGGGGACCCCATTGTTTCCTGTCTTAGGGGCTCATCTGCTATATAGGGAGAAATCGGTGATTTGAGGCTCTGTTTCAAACAAAGGAGCCCACAGTGTGTTGACCCAAACTAGTTTGCCCTCTATGTCTTAAGGATCTGTTCACGCTTGGCCCGACATGTTTGTGTATTTTGTTCTGTTTCGTTTGGGTTTTGCAATGCTGGAGATTGAACCCAGGGCCTTCACACTGAGCTACATCCCTATCCCCTTTAACTTTTTTCATTTTGAGGCAAGATCTTCCCAAGTTGCCGGAGCTGGGTTCAAACTTATGATCCTCCTGCTTCAGCCTCGTAGGTTGCTGGCATTGTAGGCAGGCACCACCAGGCCTGACTCTGCCTTCTTCCTGAGAGCTGGAGCGCCTTGCACACCGCCTGGGAGGACAGTTCCTCTGTCCTATGCCCTACTAATGGCCATGAGATCATCCCCGGTGGCTCACTGGGCTAGGCTGTCGCAACAAGCACCCTTGCTCACGTGGCCTGTGGCCCTACAGAGCCATTTCTCGGGACGCAACAGGCCTTGCTAGGGCCTGCTGCAGCTTTGGGGGGATTTTAGTCAATCTGCAGGTGCTGGAGCTAGTCAGCAGCCTTGCACCTGGAGCAGGGAAAAGCCTGTTCCTATCCTGGCCGGCACCCCAGGGTTCAGCAGTTCAGGGAACAGGGAGCGAAGCTGGGGGTGGGGATGTCCCTCCTCCTCCTGCTCCTCTTTGCCCTGCCCTGGCCTGAGTTGGAGTGACTGTCAGCCAAGCAGCACCGTGACTGAAGTGACCCTCATCCCAGGGCAGGATTCTTGAGGAGGCAGGAAGTTAGACTTGGGTGGGAGTGGGATACAGAGAGGAGATTGCTCTGGGGGGTGGGAAAGGACTGGAGATGCCTGGGAAAGGCGCCCTCCTGACCCTGAGCTGCTAGGTGGACAGGATCTTTTGCCAGTTTTGGGTGAGACTTCACATCCCTGGGGCCCCACTTTCACCAGACAGAGATCCAAGCAGGGGACACTACAGTCAGGCTCCCTTGCACCTGAGCTGTGCTGACGCTTGCTGCAGGGTGGAATTGCAGGGGTGTGCTTTCTCAGCCCCCTAGAATGTTTTAACTTCTTTTAAAACCAGAAGAAAAAAATAGACATTTAAGTTAAACTATATGTTTCAATATGTAATATTAAGATTTATTCTGTGATGGAAAGAATCCATGAAGGAGAGATGCCCAGGGCCCACCAAAGTTCCTCATGTCTCTCGATTTCCTGACCCCAGCCTCAGTTTCCCTATCTGAGAGGTGAACGTCACAAGCCAGCCTGACTCTCAGGCTCCTGCCTCACTTTCCTCCACCCCCTTTTCTCCTTTGCTGGCCCCAGCGCATTTTCCAATGGCCAAACTTTGGCCCCTCTGGTCTGCTGCCTAGATAGCCACCTGCCAGGCCCCAGGTAAACCTTGGTCAAGTCTCAGGGTAGCAGGATCCCCCTCCTCCAGGGTGTCCGCCTTGCCCCCAGGCTGGACAGAGCCCACCTCTCCAAGCCATCTGATGCTTTCTTGGCTGTCCATCCTGTCCCTGAACTCTCCACCACGAATCATGCTCCTGGGCTGGGGAAATAGTGCCTGCCTGGCAAGTGCAAGGTCCTGAGTTCGATTCCCAGTACCAAAAAAAAAAAAAAAAAAAATCATTCCCCTTCTTTTTTTTTTTTTTGGTTTTTCTCCAGTACCGGGAACCGAACTCACGACCTTGCGCTTGCCAGGCAGGCGCTTTGCCGCTGAGCTAAATCCCCAGCCCCGATTCTCCTTCTTATACTGGCTCAGGGTCTCCAAAGCACTTTTCACCTCGGCGACCGCATCTCACGCCCAGGCTCATTAGCAAGGTGCAGAGGTGGGCGGACAGGTGAAGTGACCTGCAGAGATCACACAGCCATGGAGGTCACAACAAAGGATTCTTGACTCCAGTTCAATGCTCCTCAATCTCTTCTTTTAGCATCACTTTTCCTAGCTGTGAAATATTCTTGGGCCTCAGTTTTCCCATCTTTAAAACGAGGCTTTCAAAAGCTCTTTCTTTATGGGTCTCCTGGGGAGAATAAATGAATTACACGCCATCCGCTTATCACAGGTCCTGGCACCAAATGTGGAATAAATGGCGGCCGTGGTTGTCACTTACCGATAACATCTTATCTCCTTGGCTTGAGGTTAATAATTAATGATTACTTTTTCTGATTAAAAGGTTGAAGGGCCTCTGAGATGCTGACTTGGCCTGGGGAGCTGGCACCCCAGCTGCCATATTTGCAGGGAGGCCCAGAGCTAACCGCCCCCGCCTTCTGCCCATAGCGGATGCTGTCTATATGGACTCGGACCAGGAGCGGCAGGAGTACGTGCTCACCCAGCAGGGCTTCATCTACCAGGGCTCGGCCAAGTTCATCAAGAGCATACCTTGGAACTTCGGGCAGGTAGGTCCCCACCTGCCCCCAGCGACCACCTCAGCCCTCCTGTCTGAAGCACCTAGAGATGCCAAGCTGTCAGTGGGTTGCAGAGTCGCCTGCCCCAGTCCGTCAGGGATTCAAAGGCCCTGAAATGGCTAAAGTCTCAGAGACCGTGAAGGCTGGCCTGGACTCACATAGTAGAAGCACTGGCCCTAGATTGAAGGTGGGGAAAGAATTAGGAGAACCTCTCTGAGCCGTGAAGTTGGTTGGTGTTCTTGAAAGAAGGGAAATTAGGTTATGTATCAGCCCAACACTCAGTGCCTGGAGGAGGCTGAGATGTGCTGGGTGTGTGTGAGGAGGCCCTCAGGCCACTGTCCAGAGCAGTGGGCCTCTGATGGAGTGTGCCTCAGAGTCGCCGGGAGAACGAATCAAAGTGTCTGGTTCAGCAGGCGTGGGTGAGAGCTGGTGAGGGTATCTCGGACAGGTCCCCTGGGGAGGCCAGCGCTGTCTGGCGAGCGCACCCTGAGAACCGTTTTCCGATGTGCTTGTAGCAGCCTGACTGGCCCCAGATGCTCAGTAACAAGCAAACCTGAAACAGAGACTAAAGCAACAACCATTTTTTTCTTTTCCTTTCCTTTCCTGTGCTGTCTTGTCCTTCCCCGCCCTGCCCTGCCCTGCCCTGCCCTGCCCTCCCCTCCCCTCCCTCTCTTCCCCTCCCCTCCTCTCCTTTCCTCTTTTTCCCTTTCCTTTTCTATCTCTCTTTTTTTTGTTTGTTTTGTTTTTTTGAGTCATAGTCTTGCTATTGCCCAGACTGGGTTCAAATTTGTTATCCTCCTGCCTCAGCCTCCTTGTGGTGCTAGGATTACAAACGTGCACCACAACACCTGGCTTACAGCCATTTCTTATGCCTTACAAATCTCTGGGCCATCCAGGTCATGGATGTCTGGCCATGGGGGGCGTTGGGCTGGGCAGTGCATCTCTGTTCCGTGGTTTCCTGTTCTCCAGCCGATGCCCAGAGCGGTTCTCCAAACCAGTGCTGATTTCCTCTTATCACCCAGCCTCCTGGAAAAAATCGGGAGTCTGCAGAGGAAACTCAGGAAGCAGTGACCCCCACCCACGCAGCCCCTCAATCTCCTGGAGTGTCTGGGGGTGTTGTTCTCCAGGGTGAGGTTCACCTTGAGGCTTCTCCCAACAGCCTCTGGGCCAGGGTCCAATGGTCAGGCTTAGAGAGCCCTCCCTGGGGCATAGAAAAGTCATCCTGTGTGATCTCAGGCTCAGGCTGACTGCGGTTTCCTCATCTGAACATCAGGGTCATCGTCACAAAAGCGTCTGCCTAGCAACCTAGCTCAGGCCTGCCATGGAATGGAAAAGACACAGTGGTGTGATCCTGATGCTTAAGCTACATCAGAAAAGGAATTGGCTCTTATTTCTCAGGGCTTTTAATTCTCTCCCAAGAAACAAAGCAATGCCAAGCTCTTCCTTATATTTCCCAGAGTTCTATTTTGTATGCAGGCTTATGCTGTGCTATGGGACACGGATCTTGCAAAGCCTCTAGGATTGATCGCAGTTCAGAAGAGGAGGAATAATTCCCCATAGAGATCAGAAAGGACTTCTTGGAGTAGGGGACATTAGAGCTGGGCTTTGTTGAACAAGTAGGAGTTTTCCATGCAAATATATGGGAGCACCTTGTACCAGGCAAAGGGTGCTGCTTGAGCAGACTTCAGCAGCGGGACGGTGAGGTGTCCCTTGTGAGAAGTGTGTTCTAGCTCAGGGAGTACAATGTGTGTAAAGGAAGCCTCAGACATGAGATAGGAAAACCAGCTGTGTCGCAGCTGTGACCAGCCCTCAGTGTCAGGCTGACGGCAGTTGGGAGCCATAGAAGGATTCAAGCCCTAGAGGTTGTTCTGTGGCACAGAGAGAGACCTGTGACAAGGCCTGGTCCAGGGAAGGACACGATGGGGAACAGGACAGACAAGAGAATCCCAACCAGAGAGACTAAAGTAACAGCATTGCTTATTTCTCACCCACCTGTGGATTAGAGGGGGCGTGGCTGGGTAGCCTGGGCTGGGCTCTGCTGATGGGTCTCACATGGGCGGGGCATGGAAGGTGGCAAAGAGGAGATCCTGCATTTCATAAGTACAGCACTTGAACTGCAAGGTGAGGCGTACAGAGAGCAGCAGGAAGAGCATTCCACGCAAGTGCAAAGGCCCAGAGGCAGGGACCTGGGGCAGAGTAAGTGTGGGAGAAAGTGCAGGGAGATGCAGTCAAAGGGGTGAGCACAGATCCTGAAAGACCTGGAGGCAGCAGGGGAGTCCAGATTTCACTCCGGGTGTGTTTGAAACATCTGCCTCTGTCCAGTCACGAGGCTGAGTGAGTCAGGCCTTCGGGAAAAGTGGCTGAGACTCGTCTTGCACAAAGAGAGGAGGCAGAGGCAGGGCCGGGGCCCCGAGGAGCTGTGCCCTCCACTCTGCGTGCTCTGCTCCAACGCCCAGGTCCCCAGCAGGCCTGGGTGCAGGTGTCCCCCGGCCCACTGTCCACACACTTCTGTCGCCCGCCACCCCTCCCAGGCTGCTGTGCAAGATGGAGCAGGTGCGGCAGGGGCTGCAGCAGCTGGGCATCTTCACTGTCTGTTTTTTCCGACAGTTTGAAGATGGAATCCTGGACATTTGCCTGATGCTCTTGGACCTCAACCCCAAGTTCCTGAAGAACGCTGGCCGAGACTGCTCACGCCGCAGCAGGCCTGTCTACGTGGGCCGGGTGGTGAGCGCCATGGTGAGTGAGCCCCGGTGTCCGCAGGCTCCTCTCTGCCTGTGCTGACACAGGCCGTGCTCTGTGCCGGGCCTGGTGGGAGACGAGATGGGGAGTCTCAGCACTGGACATCTGTGTTTGGAAGAGAGGATTTATGCACAGGAAGGCAAAGCCACGTGATCACCAGAGCAGCTCATTCATTCATTCATTCATTCAGCAGATACCTATCAAGTGCCTCCCGTTCCTAGGCACTGGGTGTGAAACACACATGGTCCCTAAGTGCACAGAGTTTACATTCTGCTGAGCAGCCCCTGCCACACCCCGCAGCCCGTGTACTGTGTCACCTTCACCCCTGCCCTGCCCTTGACCCCATGCTGTCCTCACCTGCTGGCCCCACTGTCACCCTGACCCCAGCGCATCCTCCATCCCCTGTGATTGCAGGTCAACTGCAATGATGACCAGGGAGTGCTCCTGGGACGCTGGGACAACAACTACGGGGATGGCGTCAGCCCCATGTCCTGGATCGGCAGTGTGGACATCCTGCGGCGCTGGAAGGACGACGGGTGCCAGCGCGTCAAGTACGGCCAGTGCTGGGTCTTCGCTGCAGTGGCCTGCACAGGTGGGCCATGCGTGGTGTGGGTGACACCTGCCTTCCCCTCCCCAAGCCCCAAGACAGGCAGAGAGCATCCAGTGGGCGTCAGGAGACCTTGGCTCTGGTCCTGCCTCTCCCACTAACGCCACAATGTGCTGTGTGCCCAGGAACTTGTGGCCAGGCTTCTCTGGTCCTTTTTCCAAAAACTACCTCTTGGGTGGTACATAGGATCAAGGGATATCATGTAAGATGGGGAACAGGAGATGGCATGGGCTTAGGGTTGGGAACATGAGCTCTGGAGTCAGACACACCTAAGTTAAAAATATCCTCTGTGACCTTGGGCAGATGACTTCTTGTTGAACCTCAGTTTCCTCATCTGTAGAATGGGGATGACAGCAACAACAAGACCTACCTCTGAGGGTGGGTGTGACATAAAAGTGCGTAGTACAGATCTGGCCCACTGTAGCTGTCAGTGATAATAATAGTAATATCAATGTCAGGAAAAAGAAAGCATGCTCTAATATAGAAGGGGAAAGATAAAGCAATTTGAAATCATAAAGGGAAACTAATTTCTTTTTTTAATTTTGAAAGATGTAAACCCAGAAAATGTTGACAATTGGTCCAGGGTTGATAATAGTGCCTCTGAGAACAGGTTCGCATCATACATGGGTTAAGAACAGACTCCAGCTAGGCGCAGTGGTGCACACTATAATCTCAGCTTTTCAGGAGGCTGAGGCAGGAGCATTGCAAGTTCAAGGCCAGCCTGGGCAACTTAGTGAGACCTTGTCTCAGTGGTAGAGCACTTGCCTAGCATGCACAAAGTCCTGCATTCCTAGTACCACAAAAAAACCAAAGCAAATCAAAACTTAAATTCTGGGATCAAGACCTATATTCAAATCTTAGGTCTACTTTTTTTTTCCAGTATTGTGGATGGAACCCAGAGCCTTCACACTGAATTGTACCTTCAGCCCTATTTTACTGTTTCATTTTGAGACAGGGTCTTGCTAAATCACTAAGTTGTCCAGGCTGAACTCGAACTTGTAACCCTCCTGCCTCAGCCTCCCAAAATTCTGGGATTACAGTTGTGTAACACCATGCCAGGTTCCAGCTCGGCTTATTACCAGCTGTGTGACCTTGCATAAATCACTTAACTCTTCTGAGTCCCAGTCTCACCTTATATAGCATGGAATAATCATATAGTGAACCCTTGACTTACAAACTCAATTCATTCCCAAGGCCTGGCTGTAACTCAGGCTGTCAGTTGGAGGCTCAGGCTCCTCTACACCGCCTTCAAAGTCTCTCTCCTGTACACAGGCAGATCTCAGCATCCTTAGAGAGACATGGGCCCAGGATTTCTCAATGAACCCCTCACAGGACAGGATGCTGTAACGTTCCTTGCAGACTCTTTAAGGGTTCAATCTGTATTTGAGACCATCTGGAAGCTCAAGCACCCGACATTCAGATCATAACTCAAGACTTTGGTCAGAAGTGAAAACTAAAATTCTGGTCATAACCCAAGCTGCTCATATGTCAGGCCAGTCATAACTGGAGGGTCCACTGTAGTGCTTTTATCCTGGGATACCTGTGAGGAGCTCAAAATGATTTCAGGTACAGAACAGCAAATACTTATACAGTGCTGCTGTTTAATACTGTTAATATTAATGGGCTCAGGAACTCTTACCAGGCTGAGATCTGGGGGTCTCAGCTTTTCTGACTCTAAAGCCAGTGTTCAACCCAGAGAAGGGTCACAGAGGCCCCCAGCTGTTGCTGCACTCCCGCAGGCAAGTGGGGGTCGCTGACCAGGGCCCCAGCCAGGCTGGCTTGATCCTCCCCTTCCTCTGCGCCTCTCCACCTGGCCGCGCTCTCCCTGTGGCCGTTGATGACCCCTTTCTCCTGGAAACTCCTGCCCAGACCCTTCTGCGAGGCCTAAACACATCTTCCTAGAGAAAGCCCACAGTCAGGGGCTGGCCTCTGCCCCCAGGCTCACCTACAGATGCTTCTGTCACCTGGGCTATGACACCTAAGGGTTGGGCAGCGGGTCTGGCCTGCAGCTGTCTTGTGTTGCATCCAGATCCCTGCAGTCCCCTCCAAGGCCTGTGTGTGAAAGAACTAACTGGGCCTGGCTGAGTTTATAACCCTGGGGCTGGCCTGAGCAGGGCAGGCCCCAGCCCTGTTTCCAACCCCGGCATGAACCCACGGAAGAGAGGGGGTGTCTCCGAGCCTCAGTTTCCTCACCTGTGAAACGGAGACAATAGTGATTGACCTGGTTCCTAGCAACTGCTTAGGGCTGGAAGACGTCACCTAGTAGTTTCTGACTCAGTGAGACTCAGGTTTGGGGGTCCTTAGGTGAAGCCAGGATTCCACTATTTTTAGCTGGTTCCCTGGACCCTTTCTCCACTCCCTTGAGTCAGACAGCACCAGCTGGCCTGATGCCTGCCTTGGCGGGCACATGACATACTTAGCTGTCCCCAAACGCCTCCTCAGTGCTGCCCTGGGAACTAGGCAGATGAGACTCTGCCCACGCCCACAGCTTTTCTGTGAATCATGACAACATCCCGACAAGCTGCTATTCTTAGCTTCTCTTACCAATGGGGAAGCAGGCTCAGAGAGGGGAAGTGACTGGCCCAAGGTCACACAGCTGGAGAACAGTGCAGTCAGGCTGTGCCCAGGTGTTCCTGGCTCACATCAGCCTTCTGGCCTTAGACTGTGACAAGGAGGCCTCTCGGGATGCCATTCTGGGGCAGGAAGGGTGCAGATGCCTTGGCAGTAGAGACAGGCTTGTAGCACATTGGGACACTAGCCTTGGCAGAGGGCAGCAGCAAGCCTGGCCCTTGTCCACTGCCCCGGCACAGGAACCAGGCCAGAGGTCGAGGGTCACAGCTGCTCCTCCCTGTCCCCCAAACCCACGCGTCTCCTGGTCAGAATCCAGAGCCTTCCGGAAAGCGCCGACCTTGGCTGAAGGCGGGCACAGGGCAAAGCTCACATCCCTGTTCCTCTCCCTCCCAACTTCCATGGAAACTAAAAGTAAAGCGCGAGTCCCATGGGGATCGTTTACTGGGGCTTTCTGTTTCGCTTCACCTTTCAAATGCTTACTTTATCCTATTCCAAGAAAACATCCTGTTTATAGTAAGCAGAAAGCTCATATAACAGGAAGGGGGAAGAGCACCCAGCGCACCGAGGGTCCTCCTCCCAGCCCCCGTGTGCTTTGCGTGGCAGGGCTGAGCTCAGGCTTGAGATGCCAGTGAGATCCTGTATTTTCACCTACTGTTGCAGCATCAGCCCTTGTCCCAGTAAACAGAGCTTTGGCGTGAATAAGGGCCCTCCTAGGACCTTGACCTGCACCGTGAGCCTATAGGGTCACTTACTTTCTCATCTGTGGGAATGATGAGGAGTCCTAACCATGCAGTGAAGGAAGACTGGAGCAGCCTAGATGGGGCAGCATGGCCTTCCAGGTGGACGGAGCAGCCTGTGCCAATGCCCTGGGGCTAGCAGCAGCATGGGAGAGCAGTGTGGCTGGACCGAAGTGTGCGAGGAGGTGATCAGGGGCCAGGCCCTGCAGGGTCAAGGGCACAGCCAGGGGTCTGGCCCTGACCTCCAGGGCATGAGGAGCCACTGAAGATTTATCAGAAGAGTGCTGATATCACGTTATATCCTAGAAGGGTGAGCAGGGACATGGCGGACATAGGGTAACCGCCAAGGTGGCACCACTGTCCAGGCAGAGGGGCTGGTGCATGCCCTCACGGCTTGGCCAGTGGGTACTCTGCTCCCTGGGGTGCAGATGGGGCTACGGAGGCCTGGGACAGGCACTCGTCTGCAGGGCCTTGGCTGGTGGGCTGACCTCTGCTCCTCCCCCAGTGCTGCGGTGCCTCGGCGTCCCCACCCGCGTCGTGACCAACTATAACTCAGCCCACGACCAGAACAGCAACCTGCTCATCGAGTACTTCCGCAACGAGTTCGGGGAGATCGAGGGGAACAAGAGTGAGATGATCTGGTGAGCTGGGCCCCGGGGAGGTCAGGGCTGCGGAGGGCCCTGGGGAGAGGACAGCTGGGAGGGCTGCATGGAGGAGGTCACACTTGAACGGGGCAGAAGGTGGAGCGGTGTGTGGGCAGGGGCTGGGCCGGAGGCCTCCACAGAGGCCTAGGGCAGGGATACTCACAGCAGTCCTGGGTGGGGCATCGAGGGGATCAGGCTGGTAGGGGGCCTGGGCAGGTTCCAAGGACACTGGGCTGTCACCTACAGCTTCAGTGCTGGCCACTGTGGACCACGGGAGGTAGGGGGAGTGTGGCGGGCAGGCCCAAGCCAGGCCTGCGCCTGTGGGCAGGGAAAGAAGGGATGGAGCCACAGGGGACCAGGCTGGGAGCCACTGGAAGGGGTGGGAGGTGGGCGAGGAGCGTAGAGGAGTTCGGGGGCTATGCGGAGCCCAGTTTCCGATGAGGCGGGTGTGCTCTGAGGATACCTGGTGGGCCGCCTGGGAAGGTCACAGTGAAAGTTGTCTACGTTCTGCCTGGTTTCCCTGATAGGAACTTCCACTGCTGGGTGGAGTCGTGGATGACGAGGCCGGACCTGGAGCCCGGGTACGAGGGGTGGCAGGCCCTGGACCCCACACCCCAGGAGAAGAGTGAAGGTGGGTGGGCATGGCCCTGTCACCTGGCAAGGGACTGGGGCTGGACAGTCTCAGGGATTCACTGGAGAGTGGGTAAACTGAGATTCCAAGTCAGAGACGGTGGGTCAGCCTGTGTGTTTGTGTGTGTGTGTGTGTGTGTGTGTGTGTGTGTGTTCACTTATAGTTTCATAATGCACTGTTTTTATACTTTGAAAAGTAATGCACACACATCATAGGAAATGGAAAATATGAAGACGCATAAAGGAAAAAATTCAGCAACTTCTCCATCCTCCCCCTAAAATCAGACTCATTTTCATTTCCACACAGCTTCCAGAAATTTCAAATTAGATATTTCTGTGTGTGCGTGTGTGTGCGTGTGTGTGTGTGTGTGTGTGTGTGTGTGTGTGTGTTTAGACAGAACAAAGGCAAAACTTGGTAAAGCACACTGACCCTTTCTTATTATATTTTTAAATACAGAGAATGTAATACATAGGGTTCCAAAGAAAACCAAAGTTAATAACTTTCAATAAGAATTTTAAAAAGTCTGTGCATGGTAACACACACCTGTAACCCCAGCACTTTGGGAAGCTGGGCAGGAAGATCACAAGTTCAAGCCCAAGCTGGGCAACTTGGTGACTGTCACACAATTTTTTTTTTTAAGTTTCTTTTTAAAGAGCAGGGGATATAGCTCAGTGTGAAGGCCCTGGGTTCAGTCCCCAGTACTGAAAAAATAATCTAAAAAGTACATGTCTGATATATAATCTATGCTTGCTTTTTCATATAAGAAGCCCTAGGTAGGGTTGTAAGTCTCTGCAGTGATGGAGATGAGCCTGTCTGACATGGCCTGTGAAAATGTCCGTGGCTATGGGTGACAGGTCATAAGTACTGCTGAGGCCACAGCGCTGTGTTGCTTGCTTTTGCAGTTGAAGGACAGGGACATGCCAGAGTGTAGTGGGTTAAGGGTGACATTTTTCCCCCATCCAAGTTCATGGACCCCTGAATCCTGCAGGTAGCACCTTGCAGGTCGGTGAGCAAGGGTCAACAGCGGACCTTTTCCCAGCCCAGCCCCCTCCTCACTGCAAGGCTAGCATTTCTCTTTCAGATGGTTTTCTGTGATTTGAATTCCACTTCTTGTCACTACGTCCCATCACAAGGATGGGCTCAAATACATTTGCCCAGCGTCTAGTCTCCAGCATGGCGCTGGGGACAGTGTGAGGCTGTTGCAAACCACACTTTGATAAACATCCGGCCCTTGGCTCCCCACGGCCAAGCTGGGTGGAGCACTGACTTCAGCCCCCTCACAACAGCTGCCCGCTCCTTCGCTCTGAGGTTTCCTTAGGGTGCCTTGACTTGGACTTCTATTTTATTTATCCAGTACTTGCAATGCAGCAAGAGTGTGCTCAGAGCTTTCCTGTAACTGTAACTCGAGTTCCCCTGAAGAAGGTCTAGGCATTAACCCTAACGGAAGCTACGGCTCAGGGAAGTGAGTGTGTCTCCCAAAGTCACACAACTCGTAGGGGGCTGAGCTAAGACTGAACCCTAAACGCTCTGTCCTCTAGGGCTCCTCTTCTGACCCCTGGGAGTCCCCAGAGCAAAGGGCTGCCTGGGCTTCAGGTTTTCTGCCTCATGTGGTTGAATCATGGGGTTGTTGATGCCGCTGTCCCCACAGCCCTGACCCACCTCTCCCTCCTACGCCCAAACAGGGACGTACTGCTGTGGCCCGGTCCCAGTTCGTGCCATCAAGGAGGGCGACCTGAGCACCAAGTACGACGCACCTTTCGTGTTTGCGGAGGTCAACGCTGATGTGGTGGACTGGATCCGGCAGGAGGACGGGTCCTTGCACAAGTCCGTCAACCATTCCTTGGTCGTGGGGCTGAAGATCAGCACGAAGAGTGTGGGCCGCGACGAGCGGGAGGACATCACCTACAACTACAAGTACCCAGAGGGTAGGCACCACCCGCAGAGCCTGTGCACGGCCTTGCAGCAGGCCATGTGCATGTGTGCGCGCGAGCATGTGTGTGTGAGGGGGAGAGATCTGGCAACCTATGTAGGTCAGCGACCTACCGGTTACATCCCACTTTAAGAAACTGCAGAAACAAGTGCACAGATACTGTGGGACAGTAGTAGAGGACGATTCATTTTGGAAAAGCATTCTATCTCTATTCACAGGAGGATTCAGGCTGTTTTTTTAAGCCTCACTTTTCTGCTTGGCTTGACTCATAATAAAACCGAAGGGACAGCCGATCTGCAGCAGGGCCAGGTGTCGTGACGGAAGCATTGCTGATGTCCCTGATGCAGCGGTTCCTAGGCTTTTAGGCACCAGGGCCTGGTTTCCTGGAAGACAGTTTTCCCACATACTGGAGGAAAGGTGTTTTCAGGATGATTCAAAGGAAAGTGCAGCCTAGGTTCTTGGAATACAGAGTTTGCAGCGGGGCTCAAGCTCTTGTGAGAACTAATGCTGCAGCTGACCTGACAGGAGTAGGGGTGGGGGAGCTGATGGGGAGCGCTGTACTCCGATGGAGCTTCGCTTGCCCACTGGCTGTGCACCAGTTCCCAGCAGGCCACAGACTCAGCACTGGGTTGGGGCCTCCTGCCTGTTGTTTGCTAACATATTTATCAGGAGCAGGACCTACAACTCTAGATGGACAATTCTGCCCTTTTTTTTATTACTGCAATGTGCGTGGAAGTCCAGAGGGGTTACGGAGGAGACTTTCCTGGAACTCGGCAGTGTTTATCTTTGCAGCACTTGACACACAGCCGGGGAAGTGAGCACAGAGGAGGAAGGGGAAGGGTGAAATTAAGGAGAAAGGGGCCAAGGGAAACTTCACATAACAAGATGGATTCAGTCTGACACAGGACGAGGCTTCCCTCTGCTCCTAATATTAAAATCAGCGGGGAAAAGGACTCTTAAAAATTGGATCGAGCACATCCACCAGCCCGCTACAGATGATGGAGATTTCTTAAGTGTCCACTGCATACCAGGCTTGCCTGTGCTCATAGGCGCCTAAGAAATTCTAATCCCTGCCTTGGCCTGACCCTCACTGACTGTCCACAGCTGACCGAGAGCTTCACTGGAAAGGATGATCAGAAGAGGCTTTCCCTGGCCTTTGGAGGTCTAGAGCTCATGGTTTGATAGAAAAATAGAGCCAACCTAACACCGCTGGTGCAGGGGGTAGAAGGCACACAGGAAAGGGGCAAACAGAATAGAAAGGAAGCAGCCATGGACAGCTGAACAGGTAGAGAAAAGGAGGGAAGAGATTTGAGATAGAAATAATCCCTGTGCAAATAGTTATAGGTGAGAATGTTTGCATTGTATTCATGCCTAGTGCATACCAAGCACTATTATAGGCCCTAGGTATGACATAAGGGCAAATAAAACACAGTTATGCCCCTCAAGCAGCTCAAAGGGGTAAGCATATAAATATAGAATAACCTGGGGAAGAAGAGGGCAGAGAAACTTTTGGAAGAGGAGTCAGTTGGGGCTGGGTTTTGAGGGATGAGTAGGAGTTCACTTATGGAAAATAAATCAGATACACTTTCTCCTCCTGGTATAGAAATGTAAAGAAAGGATTCCTTGATGGCTGCTGTATTCCATGTGTGACGATGGCCCTCGTCCCTGTCCTTACAGGATCTGAAGAGGAAAGGGAAGCTTTCACAAGGGCCAACCACCTGAATAAACTGGCCGAAAAGGAGGAGGCCAAAGAGGAAACGGGGGTGGACATGCGGATCCGTGTGGGTCAGAACATGAATATGGGCAGTGACTTTGACGTCTTTGCCCACATCACTAACGGCACCGCTGAGAGCCGCGACTGCCGCCTCCTGCTCTGTGCACGCACCGTCAGCTACAATGGGGTCCTGGGGCCCGAGTGTGGCACCAAGGACCTGCTGAACCTGACCCTGGACCCCTTCTCAGGTAAGGCCGCCAGTGCTGGGCGTCCGCTGGCCGCTTGTCAGGTGGCGCCCTGAGCGCCGAGCGCGATTCGCTTCCCGGACATTCACGTGGCGCTTAGTCCGGCTCAGGCCGTGTGCTGAGTGCTTCGTGAATCTCCATCTAATTCTTATAATGAGAATGAGGGAAACATGCACGAAAGGTTAAGCCGCTGCCCTGTGGTTGCACAGGAAGAGCAGGACTGTGCCTCCGACCTGTCTCCTCCGCAACTGTTCTCTTTTGTTTGTGTTTCTGTTTTATCTCCTCTTCCCAGGACCCCTGCGGACTTTCCCAGACCCTCTGCTCCCTTCCCCTGGCTAATTCCTGTCCTTGGCTTCCAGCTCCTCCCCCTCAGGCGCCTCCCACTGCCCTGAACTCCTGGCCTCAGAGAGAGGAGGGTCTAGCTGGGCACTGCCCATGGAACTTCTGACCAGGGTGGAGGGCTCCACAGCTGGATCCGGGATGGCAATCCCCAGCGCAGGTGGCGTCCTGCAACTGCAGAACGGAAGCTCTAGTTTTACTGCAGGTTAGGTAGCACCTTGACCAGAAGCTGCAGTATTGGACGGACAGGCCTGGGAACCCAAGGAGAGGATACACAGCCTCTGAGGCAGAGGAGGCCTCCCCTTCCCTGGGGAAGGGTGGCGTTAGATCGCCCAGCCCAGCCCAAGCCCTGGGCAGAGTCCTTGTCACTCAGGCTCCCCGAGCTAGGTCTGCACATTTGTCCCCTTAGGCTGTCCAGTGTTGTCACTGTGCCTGGTTGTCCTCCTGAAGTTATTTTCGGCACGGCAGTCACGTGGGGAGGTGGCACAGAGCCTGGCCTAAGCCCAGTGCCCGGTGACACTCCCAGTGGCCCCACCTCATTTTCTCCCCTTGGGAACCAGGAGCCGAAGGCAGGAGCAGGGCAGAGGATCTCGGGAGCTGTCATGTAAGGCACTGGCCATCCTCTAAGGGGCAGTGTGACCAAGTGGACTGTCATCCCTGTCACTGGGCAAAGGGCCACCTCTCTGCACCTCAGTGTCCCCAGCAGGCTTGTGGGGAATGCGATCTGACAGAGCAGGTTGTGTATGCAGCAGGCGCTCAGTATGACCGCAGTGGCAGGGTTGGCAAGAGGAGCAGCCCAGTATGGGTGTGCTCCGTGTGCACGGCCTCCGTCATCCTGCCTTGTCCTCCCCACCTGCCTGTCACCCAGTACCCCTCCTCTCCGTTCCCCCTCTGCCTGGAGCCTGGCCCGGGGCTTCCTAAGAAGGCAGCCCCATGTGGGGCCATGCTCCGCGGCCCCGAGAGCAGCATCTCTTCTTCTTCATCCTGGGGCCCTCCTCTGGATGGACCCACGCTCGGGCTCAGCCGAGCCTTTGCTGCCAGGGCTGGAGTGCTGTACGTCTGTTCAGGGGTGGATTCTAAAACCAGCAGACTTGTGACTTGTGCCCCTGCTGCCTTCAAACGCCCAGCACAGGCGGGAGAACGCACTCTTGAGCCTCGGTTTGGTCAGTTCTAAAGGGGTCACAGCGCACCCCCTGGTGGCCCTGTGAGGACTCAGAGAGAAGACGTGGGCTTGGGAGACATCTGGAGAGTGTGAGCCTGTGGGGGCGCGGGGAACGGGAGTTGCACCCTTGCTCCTCTCTGAGCAGAAGTTCAGGGAGGCTGAGAAGCCAAGAACCCTCCTGATCGCCTGCTGTGCCGCACACTGCTGTCCGCTCTGGGCTCAGTGGCTTCTGAGTCCCTGCCACTTTGATGACGTGGAAAAGACCCAGGGGTCTTCTCTGCATGTAGAACCCAAAAGCCAGCATCAGGGTCCATTCCTACAGGTGCGTGGGGCGTTCACAACACCCACACTCGCTTCCTGCCATCCTTGGCTGGCTGCGGCCCCTGGGGACCTCTCTCCTCACTCCAGGTGCAGGGTCCCCCATGGTGCAAGCCTGGTTGACCTGCCAAAGGCCCTTCTGGCTCCTTTGAGTCCACACCTGTCCACGCCTGTTGTGCTCAGCACCCAAAGGACTTTCCTCTCCTGGAATGTGTGGCATGTGGTGAGCCCCAGGCCACAGTGCCAAATCCCTGCCCCCAGGCCCCTGTGGAGTCGCCTTTGCCTTGCAGATCCCATCAGCGAGTTCTTACCTCTGCAGGGGCTTCAGCCAGGCCTGTCAGGGATGTGCTCAGCAGAGGATCCCTCTGGCTGGGGACCCCCAAAGGACACAGCCTGCGGGAACACGGCAGGGCAGGGGACCGAGGTGTTGCTCTCTAGCTGGAGCCAGTCCAGCATGCCTTGTCCAGTTCTCCAGTGCTAAGGCTAATCTGACCCCCCCACCCCCCACACTTTGGCTGCGTTGCTTGGTGCTCTTTGATGATAAGATCGGGGATTTCCACAGGCTAATGGACGGGAAGCCAGGCCCAGGCCCGGGAACACAATCTGCTCCTCCCCCAGCCCTGCCTCCTGTTCAGCAGTTTCTCTCTCTTCCCTTTCCTGCCCCCGCTTTCCCTCTCTCCTCCCTCACCCCTTCTGGTGGGCCGCTGGGACGGCAGCCAGTGTGGCCTCAGGGACCATCCCCGGGCTACCTTCTAGAACAGGGCATATTGTGTGATTAACAATTGAGACTGACCACAGATGCCCCCCACAGCCAGCGTGTGTCCCAACGCCAAGGCCATGGTCTCCCGCCTGTGAAAGGCCGCTTGCCAGGGTCCAGCCCTGGCCTGGTCTCTACCTCCTGGAAAAGCCCACAGTGAGGCCACATCCTCCAGGCTCCTGAAGGACAATGTTTCCCTTCTTTCCTGGGCGGCTGCTCAGAGTTTCCACTCCATGGAGTCCTGAGCTAGTTGTGTTCACTCCCCTTTGTCCTTTCTGGCCCAGTAAGTCTGGTTTTCTCCCCCACATCACGTCATCTGATCAGAGGCAGCGCAGATCCACCCCGGAATGAAGGTTGGAGGCCAGGGCCGCACTTTCCAGGGTAGGCTGTGGTCACCAGTTTCTCAGGCAGGCCTGGACCTCAAGGCCCACGTGACTGTCCTTGTGGTCCCAGTCAGTCCCCAGAGGACCTGCTAGAGAGGTCTCAGCGGATGCTGACTACCCCTTACCAAGCTCTCATTCATTGAGATATTCAGGGCTCACGCTTAGAGCCCCCAGCAGGTAACAGCGTCTGGCCAGAACAGAGTAAGCACGACTCTGCTTGCTTGTATTTATTTTCACCGGGGATCTTTTATTTATGGTGAGACTAGTTTGTTGTAATGAATGATGAAAAATTTCTCCAAGAGGAAAAAAAAGAGTTAAAAACTATAAAGCAAGTTTTGATTTAAAGGAAACTAATGCACATATGAAGATGACACAGACGTGTGAGAAACTGTATCTGGCTAGGGTTTGTAAGTTGCTGGTCTGGCATGGGGAGGTGGGGGCAGAAGGCAGAGGCCACATGAGTCTATAGTCATGGCTCTGGCTCCTGCTGCAGGGAAAAGGTGGGGTCACCAGGAAGCCCAGGGAGCACCCCATTTAGCATGGAGACCTAAGAGCAAAAGGGACCTGCCCAGGGTCTCTGAGTGGGGTGATCAGGAGAGCCAGCCACGCCTTCTTACACTCCTCCCTGCCTCCCTCACACGGACCTGGGGCCCCCAGCTCTTTGTTCTTACAAGAAACTAGAGCTAAAACCAACCTGCTCTGCCAGGGGCAGTGTCAGCCCTGCTGGCTTGTTTGGTTTTTTTTGTTTTTTTTTTTTTGTATTTTTATTTTCTTTGTTTTCTTTGTATTTCTTTGTATTTATCAGGGCAGCGTCAGCCCTCATCCCTGTGTGGCTTTGTTCTGGAATGACCTCTGGTCACAGCTCCACCCAGCAAGTGCCCGGATGTCTCCAGGAACAGAGTGAACATAGGGACAACAGAGAGGGGAGGTCACCTTCCCAGGCTCTCACAGCCTGTTGGTGGCAAACAGGGCCGGAGGGCAGCTCTGATCTGAGCACTTCCGGGCAGCCTTGGGAGCAACTTAGTTGCCTAAGTGCTAAAACTGAGGTCCTGAGAGGTGGGATCAGAACCCAGCCCCGTGGGTGCTGCAGCAAGGCCCGCACCTGCCTTGTGCCTCCCCTCCCGAGGAACCCTGGAGCAGAAGCCGGCAGGAGGGGCCTGAGACCTGCCCTGCCTGTGCAGTGTGTGTGACCTTAGCCACATTCCTGCCTCAGAGGAGAGGCAGGAGCGCATGCAGCCCTCTCAGCACCTCCCTCTCCTGCCGCAGAGACAAGCATTCCCCTGCACATCCTCTATGAGAAGTACTGCGACTGCCTGACCGAGTCCAACCTCATCAAGGTGCGGGGCCTCCTCATAGAGCCGGCAGCCAACAGCTACGTGCTGGCCGAGCGGGACCTCTACCTGGAGAATCCAGAAATCAAGATCCGGGTAAGGACAGCCCTACCCGTGACATCTCTGCTGCAACTCAAGGCCTTTGGGCCTCAGAGGTCCCCAAATCCTACGCCCAGCCAAGAAAAGCATCAAGAAGCCAAAAGAATTTAGGGCTTTTAGCCCCTCGGTATGAATCCCAGAGTCTCAGATGTGGGATCATGGAATTTAGGGATCTTAGACTCAGGAATCCTTAGACTGCTGAGCTCCACGCCTGGACCCCCAGGCCCTTGATGGTGCTGGTGAGGCAGGGAGGGATGGGCGAGTGAAGGCACAGACTCTGGAGTCGGACCACCTGGGTTTGTGCCTGGGTGACCCTGGGCATGTTCCTTCCCCACCCTGCCTCACTTTATGCATCTGTAAGATGGGGTTCATGTTGGCAGGCAGGGATGTTTTAAGGACTGAAAGGGCACCCATAGGAAGTACTAGAACCACACACAGCATGTCAGAAGGACTCAGTAACTGCTGACCGTGCTTAGCAGCATCACCAGCATCATAGTCATTTGCTGGCAGGTGTTCCAGGCCCAGAACCCCCAGTGCAGCACCTAAATGATGCACAGCAGAGGGAGAGTCAGTGAGCGCATGCAGGAACTCGTGCTCCTTACTCCAGTGAGATCCCTCAATCAGCCGAGGCTCAGAGCCAGACTTCCCCAGGGTCAGTGGTGAAGAAAGCAGAGGTCAGCGTGACTCCAAGGCCTGCGATCTGTACCTGCCAGCCCCTAGGACAAAGGAAGCATCTTGTACCTCCATCCTGGGGTCCTCATTACAGCTCTATGAAGGAGACCTGGGCAGGTATGCGCCTGTGCTTTCCAGATGAGGAAACTGAGGCATAGAGGCAGGGAGTGATCGCGGCAGAGATGAGTGTGCCTTTGTTCAGCAAACCCCGAGCCAAAGTGTGCCAGGTACAGAGGTGGATCAGCCTGGACCCACACCCTCGTCCTGACCCTGCCCCACACCTTCTCCCAGGTCCTGGGGGAGCCCAAGCAGAACCGCAAGCTGGTGGCCGAGGTGTCCCTGAAGAATCCGCTCCCTGTGCAGCTGCTGGGTTGTATCTTCACTGTGGAGGGCGCTGGCCTGACCAAGGAGCAGAAGTCTATTGAAGTGTAAGTGCTGGTTGCTCCTTTTCAGGCAAGAGGAAGGAAGGAGAGGGTGATGAGGCAGGGCTGCGCCAGGGGCGAGCCTGGCCTGGAGCCCTCCTCTCATCTCCCGCACTGAACCTGCCTCCACCCTCAGGCAACGGGGCCAGGGCTCCCTCCTCCCAGCCTCGGGTTCGCTGAGCTCGGTGCACCAGTTTGGACACACCTGGAGAGTGACACACTCCATCACTTAGCACCCACCAGCAAGCACACGAGTCTTCACACACTCAGGTGCCCACACTCCGAGTGGCCATACGTATGCGTGCACACACGTGGACGTGTGACGTGCCATCGACGGGTACCCACATTCGCACGTAGATATGGCCACACATTTTATTGATTTATTTATTTTATTGCAGTACTGGAGGTTCAACCCAGGGAGTACCCAGCTCAATGCCTGGTCCTTTTTTTACTTTTTATTTTGAGACCAGGTCTTGCTTGTTGCCCAGGCTCAAACTTCCAGGCCTCTTTCCCCAGCCTCCCACAAGCTGGCGGTGAACTTCAAGGGGGATGAGCCGCAGACAGTGAACATCATCATCTTCCCGCCCAGTCCTCCCTCCCAGTCCTCCCCAGCCTCCTGAGTAGCTAGGATTGTAGGTGGGTGCCACCATGCTTGGCAGGCTCATGCTTTGTATTTTAAATTGTTTTTACCGCAGTGTATGGAAGGGACACAAATCATGTACATGCAGCTCAGAGGTGGCCACCTGGACATACCGCTTGCTGCCACTAGGTGCACCATCCACTTTCAAGCTCACATGAGTTTGCACATGTGTGCGTGCGCACACACACACACACACACACACACACAATCACTCTAGGTCTCTGCCTGGGTGACCCTGGGCGTGTTCCGTCACACTCTTTCGCTCAGTTTATGCATCTGTAAAATGGAGTTCGTGTTGGCAGGTAGGGGTGTTTTGAGGATTAAAAGGGCACCCTCAGAAAGCACTAGAACCACACACAGGGCATCAGAAGGACTCAGTAAGAGCTGACTGTGCTTCGCAGCATCACCACCCAGGGTGATGGTCCAGGCCCATTTATTGCTGCTGGCAGTAGCTCTGTGTGCGTGAAGACCTGGTACCAGGTCCTTGTAGGTGCTCGGTGGTCACATGCCTCTGGCTCTTCCTCACCCTCTCCCTCTCTCTGCAGCCCGGACCCCGTGGAATCAGGGGAGCAAGTGAAGGTGCGGGTAGACCTGCTGCCCACGGACATGGGCCTCCACAAGCTGGTGGTGAACTTCGAGTGCGACAAGCTGAAGTCAGTGAAGGGCTATCGGAACATCATCATTGGCCCCGCTTAAGGGAGCCCTGTGCTCAGCCCCACCTCAGCCTGCTGGAAACCGCCAACCAGACCTGGTCTTTATCTCAAGCTAATGGGCAGAACTTGCCATTTAAGGCAGGGGTGGGCTGCGCGGGGGCCCTTGGGGATGGAATGTGCTTCCCGCTCATCTTGACCCTCTGAGCCAAGTTCCCCACCAGCTCCCTGTGCCAACATGGAATGTTCTATCCCAACATGGTAGGAATTCCAACCTTGGCTGGCTGGCGCTGGGGTACAAGAGAGGGGTCCTTCCTCTCCCTACCCAGCCCCAGGCCCTCCTGGACAGTCACTGGCCACCCAGCTGTTGATCTGCTCCGTAGCCCCTTGGAGCAGGCCAGTGGGACAGTGTGCACATGGCTGGGCTGAGGAGCTCAGCTGCCCAGCAGCGTCCTGTACCTCTTGCCCACGGCACTCAGGCCCCGGCAGCCCTTTGAAGAGCCAAAGCCAGGCAGGGCTGGGGAACAGGTCCAGCGCCCCCACCTTCCCATTCTAGAAGCCCTGGCCCAACAGCCGTCCCACCCCTGTCCCCGCTGTGAGGCGCCCACTGCACCAGGCACCTCCTGGGCTCGCAGTGCGGGCGCGCACAGGGCTCCCAGCAGGTCCATCACCGTGGGGAGCTGCAGATTGGGAGCTGCATCCCAGTGAGGAGGCTGGGAGGGGCCCGCTGCCCTCTCCACACCAGACTACTGGGGGTGCGTGGCACATGCGGGGCTGGGGATGTGAAGGCCTGGGCCAGAGCCTGAGCCTTCTGGCTCGAGGCCAGCACTGCATTTATGACACCAGCTCTGACCTGAGAATGACAGAGAAACCACTTGGGGACTGACCAGAAAGGGCCCAGCTGGGCCCAGGAGGCAGGGAAGGAGTTGGAGGGGTTTGGGGAGCTGGAGGTCAGCCCTGGGTTTGAGCTCTAAGTCTGGTCAGACTCTGTCTTTCCTTTTCTGGGCCTCAGTTTCCTCATTAATCTGCAGAATGATTGAGCCAGCGCATCTCCAATGTGCTCTTGGCCCTGAGCCTCTGCGCCTCACGTGGCAGGCTTTGTGAATAACCCCAGGGCCCAGGCTGTTTCCGAGAGGGAAGCCGTGACCACCAGCCATCCTGCTTCCTACCTGCACGCAGGTCCCTCCCTGCAGATCCCGGTGCTGGGGGAGGAGAGCCGGGGCCTGCCCACACAATGCCCAGCCCTCGCAAGAGCCTCAGCTGCCCACCTGGTCGCTAACCAACAAGGCCAGCACCCCCAAGCCCTCATGCACAGCCAGCACCCTGGCACAGCCCTGGCCCTGAGGAAGCGTGGAGAGCCTGTGGGTTATCATCTCGGAGTCTATGCCCGCATGCTGTCTGTATGACCAGGCTTCCCTCCGGCTGGACGGAATGGGGCAGTCTCTACTGGAGGTGCAGTTACAGCCTCTGGGACTCCCAAGATTCCAGACAGGGTCTTGGGAAAAATCACATCAATGCCTGTAAAACTTTCTGCTTTGCACAGAGAGAACTACAAGATGAGCTAACGTGTGCTCTATATAAATACAGCCCTGTTTCTCTATAGGTTTATGTATACGCTTTCCGGTTCCTAGCAGGCAGCAGATGCGCTTTTGAACCACAAGGAGCAAGCACTGAAATAAAAGAGTTTATTTTTCACATGGAAACAAGATCTGCTGTTGTCCTTTGTGAGTTTTTGAGCGGGGAGAGAGGGAGATCACACCCACCCCAGGCTTAAATTTACTGGTGTTTAAGGCTCTATAGAGTCCAGCTCCATCTCTAACCCCTTCCACCAACACAGTATGTTGGGCCACAGTGAATTTCTTGTAGCCCCTGGACACCCTGTATCCTCTTAGCCTCTGCGCAGGTAGTTCCTTGAGCCTGGAATGTCCTTCTTCTTCCTGACCTGTTGGCAAACTCTAATTAATCCTCGAATGCTTAATACCAAAGTCACCTCTGCAGTAAAGCCTTCCCTGATTTCTTCTCTGGCCCCCAGAGTCCTATAGTATGAACCAACTCTTATCACAGTGAATCCCAGCCTGCCTGAAGTTCTCAAGGGTAGGAACCAAATATCTCTTAAACAGACACTAATGAATGCTGAATCAGAGAACCAATGTGTCTCCAGACCAGTGCTGAACAATAGAAATATACCATGAATTGCAAATGCAAGCCGCACATGTAATTTAAAAAGCCAGGCACAGTGGCCCACACCTATAACCCCAGCTGCCCAGGAGGCTGAAGCAGGAGGATCCCATGAGCCCGAGTTCAGGATTAGCTTGAGCAACATAAACTTTCCTTCCCTTTAAAAAAAAATTTTTTTTTTTTTGTCTTTTTGAGACAGGGTCTTGCTGTGCAGTTCAGGCTGGCCTTGACCTCACTTTGTAGCCCAAGCTGGCCTTGAACTCACACCGATCCTCCTGCCTCAGCCTCCCAAGTGTTGGGATTACTCATATGTGCCAACATGCCTGGCCAAAAACAACTTTAATAGCCATATTAAAAAGAAAAAAAGATGAAATTAGTTTTAATAATGTATTTAGCTCAATATACCCAAAATATTGCTAGTTTGAACTTTTTTTTTTTTTTTTGGTCTTTTTGAGAAAGGGCCTTACTATGCAGTTGAGGCTGGTCTTGAACTCACTTTGTAGCCCAGGCTGGCCTCGAACTCGCAGCAGTTCTGCCTCAGCCTCCTGAGTGCTGGGATTACAGGCATGCGCCACCATGCCCAGCCTCGTTATTGTAATCAACACAAAAATTACCAGTGAGATATTTCCCTTTCTTGTTTTCATACTGCGTGTCTGAAGCACTGTGTGTATTTTACACCGATGCCCGTCTCATCAGGATTAGCTCTGTTTCTAGGGCCCGAGGACCGCAGGGGGCTGGAGGCAGTCCCACTGAGCAGCACTTGTCTCCACTGTGATTCCTGAATACGGGGACTTGGTCATTCATTCATTCCCCACCCACGAGGCAGACGAATGTCATCGGATGAACAGATGATCGGGAACAGTCATTCGGAAGGACGTGACAGACACAAATAGAATAAGAACTCTGCCTCACCTTCTAGGTGCCGGACCCTTGTGTCCCTTGAGCACTGCACGGTGGCGCGGCCTGGGGGGCTGGAGCATTGGTCAATTAATGAGTGCCTGGAAAACCGAAACCAGCCAGGTATTTCAGGCAGAAAGTGAGTTCCTAAGGGAAATTTGACTCTCAAGGGGAAGAGCTGGGGGAGGCTGTGTGACCCCAAAACCTGGAGGCTGCTGTGAAGCCCAGGAGCTGGTGGTTACCACCTCAACACTAGTGGTGCCACCCCGGTGGCAAGGCCAGAGCCGTACGGTCAGCTGCAGCAGAGCCAGAGGCAGGTTGGCCTCTCCCAGCCTCCTCCAGCTCCACACTGGCAGATCCTCACAGAAACCAGCTGGAAAAGGGCTCTGGGAAATGTCACTTTCAGCCTCCAGCCCCCTGGAAAACAGGTGGCTAGGCCAGGGCAAGGATGGAGTGGCGGGTGCCTCCTGCCATTCCTTCTGCTAAGACTCCCCTGCTTTCTTCTCCACTCAAGGGGCTCCTACTCAGCCTTCAAAACCTACTCCAAGGAGATTTCCTCTGTGGCCTTTCTGGATTGCAGCAAAATGGTTCGACCTCTGGTTTCACTCAGCATGTCTTAGCCCTTTACAATGCTTGGCCGCCGGGGCTGGGAACAGTCATTTGTGTCCTGCAGGCCCCCAAGGGCAGGGCCAGGGCATAGCCCAGCAAGGAGGTCGCAGAGGGAACTTGCCTGTTGATTTCAGCTCCTACCCGACTGCCTCCCGGGACGGCCACTCCAGCCGGCCTGATAAAGTCCCTGCCAACCCAGCCCCAAGCCTGCCTTGTTTGCATTGAAAATAAACCCGTGTATTTCAGGGCCAGTTCTTTGTGGTCCAAAAGAACATCCAATGCCTGATTAGAACCCCAAGGCTTTGATAAAACCAAACATCTGTATTTACCCAGAACGTACGTACCGTGTCGGCCTGTTTTACGGTTCTTTCCCAGGCAGACAGTTCTCAACGCGTCAGTGACTCCCCGAAGTCCTTTCTGGTACTTAGGGGACCCTAGAGGCTGTGCTGCTCCCCCTACTTTATAGATAAGGAAACTGAGGCACAGAAACGTTAAGCAATTTGCCCAAGGTCACACAGTCATAGGGTACAGAGCTGAGACTTGACCCAGGCAGCAGCTGTTGCCAGGCCTGGGCTCGGCCCAGGGCCCCAGCCCGTTCCCCCTGCATTGTCCTCTCCTACCAGGTCCACCACTCAGCGGGCAGAAGCCTTCACATAAGCCCTGGCAGCCCTCACAGAGCAGGGTCTGGTGGGGTCCACCCTGCGTCCCCTGAAGGCGTTTGTCCCGTCCAGCTGCTCGTGTTTACCCGGGATGTCTGCCAGCTCACCCCACAGCCCCATGCCAAGCTCAGAATAACAGAACACTGCCGGAGTGCGGGATGCAGGCGCCAAGGGCGGAGGGTTGAGAGGGGCTCCTAGAGGTGTGTTTTCCGGCCAGGGCTGGGGCGGGACATTCTCACCAGGCCTCCCTCTTCTCCTGCGGCAGGCCTGGGCAGATGCGCAGAGACTCCCAGCAGAGTCCTTGAGGCTGTATGCTTCATTTCAAGAGGGCAAAGAAACATCCCTTCAAAAGAGGAGTGGTGAAAGGTGACGAGCCTTCAGCCTCCATGACACACAGCACCATGAGCCTTACAGGTGGAAGGTGGGCAAATGGGGCAGACTCCAAAGCCTGAGCACTGACACCATCCCTGGGACGTTCACAGACAGGCAGCAGTGACCCACGCTGCCCGAGGTCGGGGTCGTGTTTCCCCTGGGAATCGAAGGCAGAGATGTAAACCACCTCGCCCAGATTGCCCAGCACGCTGAGGGCAGAGCAGGAAGTGGGATCCAGCGAAGCATCCTGTGGCATTTGGTGGAAGGCCTGAAGAGTTGAGGGGACTTGCTTGCCAGATCCTGCTCACCATTTTCCTTTAGCACCTCCAAAGTCTGGGCAAGCCGGGGTCAGAAGGCTGGGCGCATGAATGTGGAGTTAGCTTACAATCCAGCAACTCTGCTTTTGGATTTATACTCAGGATGAATGAGAGCATGTCCACCTGGAAATCTGTTTGTGAATGTTCACAATTCACCATTTATAGCAGACAAACAGTAGAAACATGCAAAATGACCATCAGTTAATCAATGGATAAATAAAATATAGTATAACCACACAGTGGAATGTTACTCGGCAATGAAAAGGAATGGAGTGCTGATACATGCTACATTATACTTGAAAATATAAGTGAAAGGAGCCAAAAACAAAGGTCATATAATGTTTAACTTCATTTATAGGAGATGTCTGGAATAGGCAAATCTGTAGAGACAGGAAATAGATAGGCTGGCCTAGGGCCAGCAGTGATGGTGAAGCCTTTAGAGCTTTCAATGATATAAGCAGCTGGCTGTGGCACACATGCCATAGGTTCACCACCACTGGCCTAGGGGATGGAGGAACAGACGGGGAGAATGATGACAACCAGGGGGGATGAAGTTTCTTCTAGGAATAGTGAAAATGTTCTAATGTTGAGGGGATGGATGTACTGTGTACTAGAAGTCATTGAACTGCACACTAAAAAGCTGAACTGAAAAGTATGTGAACTGTATCCCGATAAGGTTGTTTTTAAAATAATTAACAATAAACAGCAGAAAGAAAAAAGGCTGAGCCACAGAATCTCAGGCTGGATTCTGACTCTGGAGGTGTGTCTGGCTATGCTGAGTGACCGTGGGGAAATGTCTTCCCTTCTCTGGGCCTTAGTTCTCCTGGTGTCAAGTGACAGAGGACACAGAGGAGCTCTGTGGTGCCACTGATCTGGGCACGCAGGCACACTCCACACAAGTTGTCCATGATCATGTCTGCGCCTTGCCTACCCCATGAAACCAGGAAGGCCTCCAGAAGCTGAGTAAACCTCGCGGATCAAGGAGACCTGTGCACTTACCAGTCACAGGTCATGTTTCATCATGGTGCTTTACGAAAAGTGGAAGGGCTACTCTCCAAACGGTGCTCTGAGCTTCTGTTCTGGGGTCACAAGGAAGCCAGAGGCACCAGGGAAGATCCCAGCTTCCAACCGCATGGTCTCAATCCTATGCCAGCTCCCTCCAAGGCCATCCTGGAGCAGGCAGACAAGCAGGCCAACAGAGACCAAGAAGAAATTCCAGCCGTTGCTTCCAAGCTCCCCACTGGCCCGGCAGGGCCCACTTCCCAGGAAGCCGAGGATGCGAAGCTTCAGGAGAGCCATGTGCTCGGGCTCCATGTTGGGATTCACAGGGAGTGTTCCCAGGGGGGAGGGAGTCACACTGTTCTCAGCAAGCTTTTGTTTGTTTTTTTTTTTGTTTTTTTTTTTTTTTTTTTTTTTTTTCTCCGGTACCGGGAACCGAACTCGCGACCTTGCGCTATAGCCAGGCAGGTGCTTTTGCCACTGAGCTAAATCCCCAGCCCCCAAAAAGTTGTCATTTTTATTTTTATTTATTTATTTATTTTTTTTTTGGTTTTTCTCCGGTACCGGGAACCGAACTCACGACCTTGCACTTGCCAGGCAGGCGCTTTTGCCGCTGAGCTAAATCCCCAGCCCCTCAGCAAGCTTTTGGAAGGAGGAATTTCTGGGAAGTCGCCTCAAAAACTTCAGGAGAAAGGAATCTGAAATGTTAAAAGTCTCCAGCAGTTTATTGTGATTTCTTTTCACACTACTCATAAATATTTACTTTTGTACCCAGTTTTACATTGGTCATTTCACTCTCTAGTCTTTTTTACTAAAGCTCGTCCTTTAAAACTAAAATTAAGGCTACAGTGTGATGAAACAGTCTCTTCACCAGAATGACTAAAATTAGGAAGTAATATATACATAAGTATGCACACACTCCTCCACTTATGATGGGTTTCATTCCAATAAGCCTACTGTAGGTTTAAAATATCATGTTGAGCCGGGCATGGTGGTGCATACCTGTAATCCCAGCACTCGGGCGGCTGAGGCAGGAGGATCGTTGAGCATTCAAAACCAGCCTGGGCTACAGAGTGAGCTCAGGGCCAGCCTGAACTGCATAGCGAGAGCCTGTCTCAAAAAGACAACAGCAACAACTAAAATCATGTTGAAAATGCATTTAATACACCAAATCTACCGAACATCAGAACTTAAGCCCAGCCTACTTTAATATGCTCAGAACATTTTCATTAGCCTACACTGGGCAAAACTATTAACACAAAGCCCATGTTATAATTAAGTGCTGAATATCTCATGAAATTTTTTGAATACTGCACCGAAAGTGGAAAATAAAATGGTTGCATGGGCACACTTTTGCAACAGTAAAGACTAAATAAGAGTTAAATAACCATTAAATCATTTTAAGTCATTTTACAGATACACACACACACATACATAAATGCAAATCAATTTTCCAAAGTGGTTGCACCAAATGATACCAACTATACTCTCCTCCCAGAGGGTATGAGAGTTCCTATTGCACATCTTCATCAACACTCTGTGTGCGCGTGCGTGTGTGTGTTACTGAGGATTGAACCCAGACCCTTGTGTACACTAGACATGTGCTCTGCCAGTGAGCTATACCCCAGATCTTTATTTTACTTTGAGATGGGATCTCACTAAGTTGCCCAGGCTGGCCTGGAACTCACGATCCTTCCGTCTCAGCCTCCCACATAGCTGGGTCTGTAGGTGTGGGCCACCATGCCCTTCCAGATTTGCAGTACCGTATCTTCCAAAGCTGAATGTCCACCTCTCCCTGCGATGCAGCACATGCCCTCATGAATACACAGCCAGCAGACAAGAGCCCGCTTGGCCTCCAGAAGACACGTACAAGAATGTTCATAGCAGGCTTTTCCAAAACATTCCAAAGCAGAAAACAACCGAAAAGCCCAACAGTCACAGAATAGAGAGACCAGTTGTGGCGCAGTCATCAGAGGCAACACTATGGGAGAAATGAGAAGGAACGAGTGATAAAAGCATACAGTGACTCAACTGGCTCTCACAAATATGGTAACCGAAGATGCCAGGTACCGGGGCGCACACTGCTGGTTTTATTCACAGGAACTTTGAAACCAGGCAAAGCTAATCCATGATGTTAGGAGCCAAGGGAGTGGCTACCTTTCAGGGATGGCTAACGACGGGAAAGAGGCTCCAGGTACCTGGGGTTTCTAGGGTGCTGCTAATAGGCTGAGTCTTGCGTTAGAAGCCAATTAACATGTGCTCCATTTCGGAGAAATCATCAAGCCGTGACTTAAGATCTGTGCCTTTTCTGTACATGTTACACTTTAATGAGAGGCCCTTCCCCGAAGGTAAAAGCTTCAGACCCCTCAAAACTTTGGCCTGTCCTCAAGACCAGAGGAAAGGCTGGCATTTCTGAGTATTTTTGCTCACGGTTCCCACTGGAGGCTGCGCCACCTACTTGCTGCTTTAGGAAGCTCCCTGCAGCCACCCAGGAGGGAATGTTGGGCCAGGGTAGAAGTGGGGAGACCTGGGGGGCAGCTGCGAAGTGGCTCAGTGAAGGAGAAGGGTGGAGAAACTTCCTCAGGGACTAAGAGTGAGAGAGGCTTAGAGGAGTGGGGGCCGGGGGAAGGGTTACTTGGGCAAACACAGGAAGACTGAATCTCACAGGGGCCACCAGAGCTGGGGCTTAGGAGCAGAGAGCTGTGTGATCTCTAATTCCTCAGCATTAAGCTGCACTGCAGCTGCCTCCCGTCCAGTCAGGCCTTGGCCAGGGTTGAGCGCCTGGCCTGCCCAAGCCAAGTGCCTGGCACCACCAGGTCCTGCTCCCCCTGGAAACCGCACCCTCCCTGGCCAGCTCTCCCCTCGTTCCCAGCCAGCCCGCGCTGCTCAGCTCTGATGAATGCCCCACGCCCAGCTGCTGGCAGCCACCCAACCCTCGCAGCCCCAGCTAACCATGTGTCTCTCTCTTCAGCTGTGACTTGGTTTTTCTTTTACTTCTTTCCTGTTTCCTTGACCCAGCCCTTGGCGAGGCCCCTGGAGGCTGATGGGAAGCTTGAAAAAGTTGCATCTTGTCTCAGTGAGGTGTTTGGTGGCTGAGGTGAAGTGGGTGCCACTGACCCAGTCCACGGTGAGGCATGTGAGGTCCAGCAGGGTAAAGTGACTCAGGGGCCAAGATCACCACCCAGAAAGGAGCAGAGCTGGATCTGAACAATAACAACTGCAATGTATTGGCATTAAGCAGGGCAGGGCCCTGTGCTACGCACTATGTACACATTTACCTATTTGTCCTGCATGATGATCCAGTTGAAGAGGTTAGCATTATGGCCAGCCCCTTAAAAAAGCCATTTATTGAACACTTGGAGAAAAATATACAAATCACAACTTCCCAGTAAGTTTTCACTTACTGAGCCCACCCATGGGACCAATGTCCAGGTTAAGACACAAACTCTATGACACAACACCAAAGCACAAATGACAGCTGAGAGGGTTCATAAATTGGAGCTGGATGTGGTGGTGCACACCTGTAATCCCAGCACTTGGGAGGCTGAGGCAAGAAGATCGCCATGAGTTCAAGACCAGCCTGAACTATAAACAAACAAACAAATAAATAAATAAGACTTCATTTAAAGTTTTTCTGATTCAAAGGATGCCATAAAGAATGCAAAGAATCAACCCACATGATGGGGAAAACATTTGCACATCATTTATCTGATGAGTCTAATATCCAAAATATATAAAGAATTTATAACATAACTGTAAGAAGGTAAATAACCCAGTGAAAGACGGGCAAGAGTTGAATAGACATTTCTCAAGTGAAGATACACAAATGGCTAATAAGCACGTGAGAAGATGCTCAACATCATTAGCCACTGAAAAATGAAAATCAACCACAAAGAGAGACCACTTCACATCCACATGAGCGCTGTGCTCATAAGACACGTAACAGGTATTGATGAGGAGGTGGAGAAGTTGGAACCATCATACACAGCAGCTCTGGGGAACAGTCAAGCAGTCTTTCAAAAGTTAAACACAGACCTAGTATTTGACCAGTTGATTCCTCTCCTAGTGGAACTGGGGAATGAAAACATATGCCCACACAAAAGTTGTATGTGAATGTCCACAACAGTATTCATAGCAGTCAAAAAAGTAGAAACAAGCTGGCATGGTGGTATATACCATAATCCCAGGACTCTGAGAGGCTGAGGTGGGAGGGTGGTAAGTTCAACAAGCCCAGTGTGGGCAACTTATCAACTCAGGGAGACCTTGTCTCAAAATAAAAAATAGAGCTGGGCATGGTGGCGCATGCCTGTAATCCCAGCACTCAGGAGGCTGAGGCAGGAGGATCATTGGGAGTTCGAGACTAGCCTGGGCTACAAAGTGAGCTCAAGGCCAGCCTGAACTGCATAGAGAGACCCTGTCTCAAAAAGACAAAAAAAAAAAAAAAAGCTAGGGATATTACTCAGTGCAAAGGCCCTGGATTCAATCCTCAGTACTCCCAAAAACAAAAACAAAAGCAAAAATAAAAATGTGGAAACATCATTAACTGATGAACGGGTAAGTGAAATATGGTATAGCCATCCACTGGAGCATCATTTGCAATAAAAATGAATAAAGTGCTGATATATGCTACATTAACCTAAATGAAAGAAGGCAGTTACAAAAAAACATGTATTTTAAAATTCCATTTATGCTGGGTGTGGTGGCACACGCCTGTAATCCCAGCACTCAGGAGGCTGAGGCAGGAGAATCGTTCCAAGTTCGAGACAGACCTTGGCTACAAAGTGAGTTCAAGGCCAGCCTGAGCTGCATGGTGAGACCCTGTCTCAAAAAGACCAAAAAAAAAAAAAAACAAGGATTCCATTTATATGAAATATCCACAACAGACAAATAGAGGCGGATTAGTACTTACCTATGGGTGTGGAGAAGTGAAGACAGGGAAAATAGAGGCTGATGTTAATGAGCACTTTCCTTTTTAGAGGATGAAAGTGTTCTAAAATTTGGATTAATGGTTCTACAAGTCCTATAAATACTGTATTGCACACTTTAAATGGATAAACTGTGGTGTATCTCAGTAAAGCATTTTTTAAAAATAAAACAAAAATATTCCCTACCTTTATTCCCCACCTTTATGCTGCTCACCCACCCAAACTGCACCTACCTTCTATTTCTCTGAATAACGTATTTCTGAGACCTGACTCAAATGCATTACAAACATTTCCTTGATATATTTTATTCAGAAGTTGTTGAGTTTGGGGTTTTGCAAGGGGAACAATGTAATACAGGACACATATTTTATAAGATTATTTATAACAGTCACCCAAAGAATCATATACAAAAAGAGTGCAGGAAATCTGTCCGCACACTAAAG